AATCATGTTAAAATGCCACCATATGAGAGGAAATCAGTTATGGGAATATGATGCTGAGGTAAAGTATATTCCTTAATTTACTTATTATTTAATACTTAAGCTCAGTTATATATTTCAAAAACATTTAAATCCTAAGCTATTTTTTTCTGCATTGGCAGAATTGTATTTTCAAGGATGCATGCTCATATCTGATCACATTAGGATGGTATATCATATAAACAGGTTTTTGCCAAACTGGCTCATTAGTATAAAACACGAATGAGTAAAGTAAAATCATTTTTATGTGCTTAAAATTTATCTCCATGTACATGCCTAATATAAATTAGGCAAGAGGCAAGCTGAGCTTACATGAGAGGTGCATATGAAGATGTGCATACAGGACAGTATTGACAATATGTTCATATTATCAAATTTTAAATTTTACACCATTGTAATCTATGATATGTATGCTTCTCAACCTAAATGAAAAAATCTGACACGATTAACAAGATTTCTTTAGTATTGTAAAGAATATTGTAAAGAATTCTTTACTATTCACAATAGTAAATTCTTTGCAGAACTCAATAAAATAATTAGGCACATAATCAGCTAAGTAGCCTCTTCTCAATATAGCACACCTTTCTGCTAGAGAAGAGGGAGGGAAAACAAAAAAATTACTACTGGGAATTTATAGCCAGGCCATGTGTGAAAACCAGATCAGCCATCAGGTGGAGCTAATAAAAAAGAAATATTTTCCTCTGCTTGAGGAAGCTGCCTCGAAAACAGCCTCGTTTCTTTCAGTTCTTTGCTTAGCAAAATGAATTGGCCAACACATATAAAAGGTGTTATATTTCCCACATTATTAAATGATTATTTAAAAGAAAATTTATGATTTATTTATAAGAAGAACTAAGCTTTATTCTTACACGATAAATCATACAATAGAGGTCAATGAGTCTCGACAGATGCAGTGTTCTATGTAAGCCTAAAATACTCTGTAAGAGCAACATTTTAAAAATCAACCTATGGGTTTTTTGGTACTACTGATATTTTAACAAGACCTTTTAAAAAACTTTTTGAATGTCATTTTAATTTGCATGATTTTGTGGTTTCTTGATTTGAATATCAGGAAAATTTACTGAATTCTTATGGGATTTGAAACTCCTTATATAGCGTTAATTTGGGGCCTGAAGTTTATACAATGTTACGAGGCTCTTGGCCCACAAAACCTTCTTGTGGGACACAACACCCCGAATCCTTCCTGTGTTACACCAGTGGGTTCCATTCCGACTCTTTTGCCTTCTCAATATCTTATTTACCTTTTTTTTCCCTCTTCGACTGTTATCTATTATCATCATCGCCCGAATCCTTCCTGTGTTACACCAGTGGGTTCCATTCCGACTCTTTTGCCTTCTCAATATCGTATTTACCTTGTTTGACCACTGTTTTGTTTTTTTTTTTTTTCCTCTTCGACTGTTATCTATTATCATCATCGTTTATATTAAGCCTACAGAAGACATTTCCTCTACTAATACATACGGCTAAATCTAGACACTTAATCTCTACTCCTTTGGGGAGGAAAAGTGTAGATATATGTCCAGATGAAGTAGATATCCTGCAAGTAGTATTTATTTTTTAAACAAAACTTCTTGTTGTTGTTGCTATTTAATTTCTACCAAGAATCCAGGACATTTTGGGGCTTGTGCTAAAAATAAGGAAATCTAGCATATATCTATAAAGGAAGGGAATGATTGTACTTTTTGTATAAGATAAAGCAGTGTTGAATTTCAGAACACCATTTTTAGTCTTTAAACTTTTCTATATCTCTTGAGTGAACAATGGCTTCTATAGTCATAACTCAAATTTCTTCATTTCTAAAATAACTTTTGGTGGTAATTAGGTGTAAATTTTTGCTTATATTTTCTGTCAGCCAGTAACAAGGTTATTGAATACTAAGAAATTTTGAAAGATAAGCAGGGGAAAAAGTATATACCTTCACTTAAGATAAAAAAAAAAGGTTTTTTGTAAATTTACTGTTTTGGATGACTAGTAGTAGACAATAGACTTGCAGTATTTCAGAGCACTGTAATATTTTGTGTCATGTTAGCTTTATTTTTGGAACACACACAAAAAGCTTATAATATACCATAAATATTGATAAATTTTTATTTTAAATAAATAATCAGATTATCTCGATAATCATATAGCATAATTTACTCTGTTTTTATGCTTTCAAAATTAAATTGTGATGTTCAGTTTGTCTAATGACACCACTTTTCCAAATTTAAAAGTGTATAATTAATAATGTAGAGAAATTGGATGAGAATAGAACAATTGTAGGAATAATGCATTGCCTTTCTGGAAATTGCAGCTTTGAAATTTGATTTTATATGTGAGAAGGTCATTAAAAAAGAGATCATTTTTAATGAAATTGAAAGATAATATTTTGTGTGTGTGTGTGATTTCCTTTTAAGTTTCAAATTTAGGGTCCCTTTAGTCCACAGAATAGTTCCAACTTTTGCTACCCTAAGGGTGACTCTAGGACTAGAATCACCTGGGAATTTGTTAGAAATGTGGAATCTGAGACACCACACTGGAGACACTAAATCCAAGTATTTTAACAAAATCCTCAGGTCATTCACGTATATATTAGAGTTTGAAAAGGACAGGTCTAGACAGTGACAAACATCTACATATGTTCCATAGTCATTTTATACTGTTGAAAAATATTGCAAAGTTAGGGAAATGACAAGTCCCTCAAAGGACACAGGGGAGAGAAAGGGAGTAAAAGGGTGAAAGGTACTGAGACGGGAAGGAGTACTGCTTAGTGCCTCTATGCTTCTCAGATTCCAACCTGTGGAAAGTAGGCAAGTGCTGCTTACTACTTCTTCAATTCTTTTATCTTTTGCTAGCAAGAGCAAAATTATTCTTCTTTGAGAAACCTCTGAGGTGGTGCAGTTTCAAGGCAGAATAAAAATTGGTGGAGTGCATGGAATTACAGAACCAAAATGTATCCCTTAAAGTTCTCTTCTATCAGCCTTTATCAGGAGGAAACTAAAGCACAAAGATTACACCACTAGCAGCAGAGTTAGGATTTAGGTCCTAATAAAGTATTCAAAGTAAGGTAGTTAACAGTACAACTGTGAAGCTCACAGTGTGAACAGCTGAAATATTCCATCACCTTGTCTCCCATAGTCCTTTCAATCTTAGAAGGGAAAGTTATAAATAGGAGCAGAATTGTTGCAACAGCCAGAGAAAAATGGAAACAGTGTCAGGAAGCCTCAAAACAAGGAATCCAGCTGCTTTGGTTTTGTTTACTTAGATGGGGGAGAGGGAAAGAGAAGAGAAAGTTAATTGAGTGTCTATAATTCTGTTTTCTCATACAGTTTTTACAATAGTCTTATAAGACAGATATTATTCTCTGTATTTTTCACGTTAGTAAACTGAAGCATAAGATAAATGCCTGGTCTAAGTTTACACACTCAAGTTTCTGGCACTAAATCCAGCAATTTTTCTACTACACTACATTGTGTCTTGAGGTAACTGAAAAACTGGAAATAATTAGCTGGGTTTTTTGGGGGGTTTTTTTGGACCGGTAAGGGGATCATAACCCTTGGCTTGGTGTCGTCCGCACCACGCTCAGCCAGTGAGCGCACCAGCCAGCCCTATATAGGATCCGAACCCGTGGCCTGGGCGCTCCCGGCGCCGCACTCTCCCAAGTGAGCCACGGGGCCGGCCCATAATTAGCTGTTTTTAATGATGATACCCTAATAAGGTTAATGTACAGTTTGGATGAAATAATTAAATGCTATCAATTATTCACAGTACTAAATTTTGTTCACATAGAATTTCTCCTTTCTTTAACAATGGGAAAGATGGTCTGCAATAAATATGATCTGTTTAGATAAACAGGCAATCATAAAACTGCTTTGTCACTATGGTCTAATTGCTTACAAACTTTAGCTACACATATTCATTATATAATTAATCCATATCTAATTACTTCTTCTTTTAATTGAATGAAACTAAACACATGTTGGTAATAAATGCATATCTTTGGCCAGCTTTGATTTGAAATATAGAGTTTCCCACTTTCCTAACTAAATATTTCATACATAACACAAAAATGAATTTAATTTTCCGTCACTTTATACCTGGCCAAATCCATTTGATTTGGGAGCAACCTGGCCATCTTTAGCAAAATTGCAGCATACCCACCCGGTCTAGAATCTCTTGAATAAATTACTGAAACACTTCTGTTCCATGAAATGCCTATTGCCATAGAGTTAAACAAAAAGATTAAAAAAAACTAAATTTAAACTCTCTGAGACATTTTAAAAATTATTTTTATAAAGGTGTCTTTCATCCATCCATTCTACTCTATTCAGGTTTTCTTATATTCTGTTTGAACATCACAATTGTGTTCTAATCAATTTGAAATTTACATTTTCCTGCAATATGTGCATATAATCACGTTTCTTTTTGAACATCCAGGCAGCTACATACAGTGTGAGAATCTAATTTTAGATCAGAACTCTTTTGCTCAATAAACACTATGCAACAAAGGAAAAAAAAAGGGAGCAAAATATGATGCTAAAAATAAGTCTTTTTTTTCATGTGACTGAGCAAGTTGACTGAGAAAATACTTATTATGAATTCTATATCCGTCTGTATCAAATGTTTCCCAGAGTCACAATATAAGGAATATTTTTCAGTAAGTAAAATGTTAGATTGGTATTTACTGAAATCACAGAAGCCTATATTTAGACTTTACTTAATCTCCCCTCTTCTATTTACCTTTATCAGAAAGCGGGTAAATGGGAATATAATTTCAAGGTAAGTGATCTATAAATGCATCCCATGCATTTCCCTGAGTAGCATTCCTAATAAAAGCAGTGGCTCAATTTACCTTTTGAAGGATGTATACATTAGACAGATATTCCCTTCCATCTTCCCGTCAACCTGTTGCTGTGATTTCTCATTAGAATCAATTAGTGAGTAGGAATTTAAGTAGATTAGTGTTGCATTTGTAGTTCCTGTTTATTAGCAGTTATACTTGATTTTTAGAATTCCCCTATT